CCCCCCTTGGACAGCGGCACCGCCCGGACCCGGCCCGGGGCAGCCCCGGCACTTGTGGCCTTGCAGCCCCTGCTGTGCCCGGAGCACTGGGGGGCTTTGCCCTCGGTCCCACACGACCCCCGCTCTCCACAGGGCACAGCTTTGCAGGCTGGGCTGGCCAGGGCAGCAGGAATCGGCCCCGTGGCCGTGCCAGGCACTTGTGGGCAGTGTCTCCATGGCCCGGGCCCCAAGGGACACATCCAGACACCTCTGGAACACTCCCAGACACAGGAACTCCACCACCTCCCTTGGACACTTATTCCAAGGCCTGACCACTCCTGCAGGGAAAAATTGGTTTTAATATCTGAGGTGAACATCCCCTGGTAGAACTTCAGGCCATTTCCTGTCACCCTTGGGACATGACAGAACAGACCGACCCCCCAAGGTTACTCTGGAGCCTGGCAGACCCTCTGCAGCACTGACCCCCTTTATCAGATCCCACTTTGTTCTTTCTATGTCCTTCCCAGCCAAGTTCACCTGCTCTCAGGGTGAGCCACATTTTCAAGCCATGTCATGGGAGTGTTCAGTGAGAACTACACGAAATTCCGCTGCAGCGTCAGCATCCTCCCCCCTCAGGGCTGCTCCCCAAATCAAAACACGTGGCACCATCTACTCGAGAAGGAGGAATTTTATTGTTTCCATCAGCCAGGTTTCCTTGGGAATAGACCAGGACAGTTCTCTAGACAGTCTCTCTCATGATCTTGGTGAGTTTCTGGATCTTGGACCTTGTTGACATGTCCACGTACTTCTCCCCAATGTTGACAATCATCCCGCCGAGGATCGAAGGGTCAGTCTAAACAAGGAACATTGAACAGAAAGTCTGTGAGCAAAAGTTTCTCAGCCTAGGATACAACTCTGACACTAACAAAGGAAAGAATAAAGCTCTTCAAAGAGCCTTTTTTGGGAGAACTTTGTGGTCATTGCATTCCAAAGTTAGGATTTTAGGAATTAAAGCATCATCATGTCTACGGAAAAGCACAGAACTGTGTAACAGCAATGGGATTCAGTGAAATCTTTAAGATCATTTTTTAAACCCTTAACATGAACTTGATGAAATTGATTTATAAAGTCCAAACTCCAGACCTTGGTCTCCAGCTTCAAAACCTCTCCCTTAGCCAGGAACCCATTCAGAGCACTTTTTAGTTCAGTCAGGTTGGCCTCATCCAAGGGCTGAAAAATAGGAACAGAAGAGAAGGAAAATTAAGGACTTGAAAATATTCAAATGATAGAACAAGGACCCCAATATCCTACTCAGATCCTTTGGAAGACAGACACGAGTACCAGGAAGGCAGATTTAGCAGCGTTCTGGAACAGGGACAACCAAAGGGCAGCACAGGAACAACAACCACCTTGGTGCCCTCCTAATTTCATGAGCCATGAACAGGGGCAGCTCTATGTGCAGACTTTTATCATCCCCTGGCTTCACACACAGGAAGGAAAAACATGACCTAAGAAGCTGAAATGGGAGGAACAGCTTTAATTTTTGACGAGTCTCTGCTGGGGATCCAAACCCCCCCTGCAGAAAGACGTTCAGCTTGGCAGGGCTGAGACGTTTCCTCGCTGCTCACACAGCAAGCCCTTCAATTCCAGGGAGCAGGGGGAGCCTGCAGAGGTTTGCCTGTTCTCCCAGTGCCTGCTCCCAGCCCACCTGTGCCGTGGTGACCGTGCACACCACCTCTCCTCGCACCGCGCTCATGATCTTGGCGAAGGCGGACACGATGCCCGGGGTGTGGCGCAGGCGGCCGTTCTCAGCCAGCAGGTCTGGAAAACACCAAAGCACCGAGGGCTCAGAGCACCCCCCGGGCACATCCGGGCAGCCAAGAGCCACGGCAACGGGTGGCACAGCTTGGATGTTCTCCTGGAGCCCAGGGGTCACTCACTCATCAGGTTGACAGTGATGGGGGACATCTTCTCTCTCGCCAAGGCGTCGCTCACGGCTTTTTGTTTCACTGTGCCCTTGGTGTGAGGGTTCATCACCACACTGGACAGCTTGGGGTCCTTCAGCAGGGTCTGAGGGGAGACACAGCTATGGGACAAAGGCCAGGAGTTTTCCAGGCATTCCAAGGCCCACCTGGACCAGCCAGAGCAGGAAACACGGGTATTCCTGGAGTGAGAACAAAGAGCTCTGGAGCTGAGGGGAAGTGGAAGGGCAGCTGCTGCTACAGAATCATGGAATGGTTTGGGTTGGAAGGGACCTTAAAGACTGAATGGACCTAGCTCCACCCCCTGCCATGGGCAGGGACACCTTCCACCAGACCAGGTTGCTCCAAGCCCCGTCCAGCCTGGCCTTGGACACTTCCAGGGATCCAGGGGCAGCCACAGCTTCTCTCAGCAACCTGGGCCAGGGCCTCCCCACCCTCCCAGCCAGGCATTCCTTCCCAATATCCCATTGAAACACTGGGGCACAAGGCAGGCAGCACATGTGCCAGGGGACTGGGAGTCTCAGAGGCTGCAGGAGCCAAGCCCACCCCCCTCCTGAGGAGCAGGGAAACCCCCCCTGCTCCCACGCCCGGGAAGCTCCGGCTGTGGAACACCTTACCCACACCCGGCTCAGCTCCTTCTCCACCTGCTCCAGCTTCTTCTGCTTGCTGGCTGCAGAGTACAGGGCGGTGGCATAGCGCCCTTCCAGCCCGTACACCTGGATGGGCGGCTGTGGGGAGAGCGGGGGGCACTGAGAGGGGGCACCTGGGGGGCACAGACCCCCCTGCCCCTCGGCTTCACCAGCCTGGAGACCTCCCTCATCGGCCACTTTGACCAGCCTGGAGACCCCCCTAACTCTTCACATAGACCAGCTTGGAGACCCCTTGTCAGCCACCACTTTGACCAGCCTGGAGATCCCCTCTACTCCTCACCTTGACCAGCCTGGAGACCCCCCCACCTCTTCACACAGACCATCCTGGAAACCTCCCCAACTCCTTACCTCAACCAGCTTGGAGACTCCCCACCCTCTCATACTCCCTCTCACACTAACGAGCCTGGAAACCCCCTCAACTCTTCACCTTGACTAGCCTGGAGTTCCCCCCAAGCTCCTCACCTTGACCAGCCTGGAGACTCCCCCACCTCTTCACACAGACCATCCTGGAAACCTCCCTGACTCCTCACTTCAACCAGCCTGGAGACTCCCCCTGTCACCTGTTACTTTGACCAGCCTGGAAACGCCCCCGACTCCTCGCTCTGACCAGGCTGGAGAACCGCCCCACCCTCCACTTGCCCCCTTTCATCTTCACCATCCTGGACACCCCCCTTGACCCACTCACCACCTCCCCTCTAGTCCCTCACCTTGATCAGCGTGAAAACTCCCCCTACCCCCTCACAACCCCTCCTGCCCCCTCACCTTGCCCAGCTCGGACCTCCACTGCCCCCTCACGTCCCCGCCGCCCCCTCACCTTCACCAGTTTGGACACCGGCCTCGCCGCCGTCGTGCTCAGCTGCCGCACCTGGAGGGGAAAAAGGGGGACAGCGGCAAGGTCAGCGCGGCGCTCGAGGCCTGGGGCGATGTTGGAGACCCCCGCACGGGTGCGGGGGGCGGGGATGCCTCTGTTGCCCCCCGGCCCCCCCGTTTCACCTTCAGGGCCGCCGCCGCCGCCATGTTGCCCCGCCGCCGCTCAGGGTCACCGCGCACGGCGCAGGCGCGGGGAGGCCCCGCCCCGTGATGGCGCTGCTGCCGCGGGGCACGCTGGGAGCTGTAGTTCCTCGGGGCGGGGCCTGTGCGCGTCACTGCCCTCGGTGTCACCGCGGTGCCACCACCAGTGTCACTGTGCCACCAGTGTCCTTGTTCCCTTAGTGTCACCTGCCCTCGGTGTCACTGCAGTGTCACCACCAATGTCACTGTGCCGCCAGTGTCCCTGTTCCCTTAGTGTCACCTGCCCTCGGTGTCACTACGGCGTCACCACCAGTGTCCCTGTGCCCTCAGTGTCACCTGCCTCGGTGTCACCACCAGTGTCACTGTGCCACCAGTGTCTCTGTGCCTGACGTTCCTGTGGTGTCCCTGTGCCCCTTGGTGACACTGTCAGTGTCCCTGTGCCCACAGTGTCTCTGTGGTGTCCCTGTGTCCCCAGTGTTCCTCTCCCCTCATTGTCACTGTGACCGCAGTGTCCCTGTGCTCACTGTCCCTGTGATGTCCCTGTGCTCACTGTCCCTGTGGTGTCCCCGTGCTCCTTGGTGTCCCTGTCAGTGTCCCTGTGCCCATGGTGCCCCTCATTGCCCAGTGTCCCTTTGCCCGGTGTCTCTGTGCCCACAGTGTCCCTGTGCCCACAGTGCCCTTCATGAACAGCTCCAGTGTGGGTCCCTTCCATGGGGTCACAAGTCCTTCCTGCTCCAGCCTGGGTTCCTCTCTCCATGGATCCACAGGTCCTGCCAGGTCCCTGCTCCAGGATGGGCTTCCCACAAAGTCACAGCCTCCTTTGGACATCCCCCTGATCCAGGGGGCTCCTCCAGGGGCTGCGGGTGGATCTCTGCTCCCTGTGGATCTCCAGGGGCTGCAGGTGGATCTCTGCTCCCTGTGGATCTCCAGGGGCTGCAGGTGGATCTCTGCTCCCTGTGGATCTCCAGGGGCTGCGGGTGGATCTCTTTACCCCGTAGATCTCCAGGGGCTGCCCCTGCCTCACCCACACCCATCCCGTACTTCAGGAGAGTGACTGGAGCATCCCACGAGTTGTTTAAAAGACTCAACCTCAGCTGCTCTTTTCCCCCAGGCTTTGCTCTGCTCTGACCCGGGGGAACCCGCGGGACGCACCGAGTTCCTTCTATCCCTCGGATAAACCAGATCCAAACCCTTCCCGAGGCAAAGGACATTCCAGGTGAAACCCCAGGTGGGCAGCTCTGCCTGTCGCTCTCTCATTCTCGCTCAGCTCTCGGGAATGGTTCAGTTCCCCCTCTCCTTAATTCTTCCACCCTTTTTTTTTGTAAGAGCTTCGCGGAGCCGGCTCCGGTCCGGGTCGTTATTTCCCGCACGGGGACCGGCTCAGGCGGTCGTTGCCATGGAAATAGGAAGCCTGGTGTGGATGGGAAGCCGCGGGAAGCGTGCAGGGCAGGATTCGAGCACTAGATGCTGCTCTTGCTCCAGACTGAAAGCGAAGCTATGATGTAAAACCAGGATTGGAACAAGGTTCTTTAGGGAACCCGCTTAGCCGTCCCACCAGGAGTGCCACAGTGTCACCCACGGGCTTTATTGGGGCTCTTTATTGGGATTTACCTCCCTCCTCTCTCCCGGCCCGCGTTTGCCGGGGTGACACTCGAAGGCACAAATACAGCCCGGGGCAGGTTTAAGCCTGACATGACTGAGAGGGTGGGGATTAGTTCAGCCTGGAGAAGGGGAGAACTTAGAGCCCCTTCCAGTGCCTGAAGGAGCTCCAGGAGAGCTGGAGAGGGACTGGGGACAGGGGATGGAGGGACAGGACCAGGGGGAATGGCTTTCACTGCCAGAGGGCAGGGTTAGGTGGGATATTGGGAAGGAATTCCTGGCTGGGAGGGTGGTGAGGCCCTGGGATAGAATTCCCAGAGAAGCTGTGGCTGCCCCTGGATCCCTGGAAGTGTCCAAGGCCAGGTTGGACCAACCTGGGCTGGTGGAAGGTGTCCCTGCCCATGGCAGGGGGTGGCACTGAATGGGCTTTGAGGTCCCTTCCCACCCAAACCATTCCATGATTCTAACACTGTGCTTCTAATTAATTGTGATAACTACAGTACTGAGAAAAGCATGTCTAACATGTAGAAAAAATGTTTGCTTTTAAAAAAATAACTTTTTTATTATTATTTTTTTTGTGATAATGTGCCTGGACAGAAGTTTTGGAACGGATTTATTTGAAGTGGGATTCCATATCCCAATTTTTTTTTTTTCAGTGTAATTCTGGGACAATCTGTGATCTTGTCGCATTTTAATACACAGATAAGCTGGCTTTTTGATGTCACTGAGTCCTGAGGGCACTTTAATGAACTGGGGATTGGGTGAAAGCCTGATGAACTTTTGATGAATTACAATCAGAGCACTGGGTTAATTTTAGATAAGTAAAATCCCACAGGTGATAAAGAGTTTGTACCTTTATGCCTTACACTGGAAGGAAAGTGTAAACTCTGATAAAACCTGTCCTCATGTTTGAGTATCTGTCACAATAATGGAGTCCCTCATTATATATGGGGATTTTTAGGAGGTTTTTTTTCCCCTGCAAAGCAATTAAATTCCCTGTACTGCCCATCACTTACCATCAGACGTTTACGTGTGTCCCTGCTTTCAGTTTGGGCACTTAATGAGCACCTGAACATTCACAAACTCAGGAGGAACATCCTGAAGAACTTCCATTTGTGGGTTTGCCCTTGGAGGGTCGTGACCTTAAAATGCTCATTCTTAGTCACGTGAGGATGTAAAAAACATCCCTTTTTTCTCCTGTTGAGTCAGACCACAACTGAAAGCAGGCAAAGTAGATCTTATTTTCCTTTCATTGAGAAGTCTCTAGAAAGAAGGCGATGATTCTCCAGCCATGGTCCTGCTGGGGTTGTGTTTCTGTCGGGGTCCAGCTCTGTGAGAGGTCCTAAAACTTGCAGCAAGATTAGACCATTCCACAGATAACTTGTAGAGCAGAGAGGCAAAAAGCAGATGAGGTTTTTCAGGGCCCCCACAGAGATGAGAGTGTGGCAGGTCAGTGCCACAGAACGTGCCAGGCTTACCCTCCAACAGGTCTTTTAAAAGAAAAACAAAAACCCCACTCAAACCCCTTTAATGATTATAGCAATGAGCCCAGACTTTTAAGAAGGGACTGCTTTTCTCCCTCGCCTTGCAACTCACCTGAAACAGGAGCTTTTGGCCCGTTGTGGCTGTTGCTCCTCACCTGTTATTCCATAATTGCACCCATCTGTTTCCCTTTGGCCGAGCCCGGAATTCGGCACGGGGCAGTCCCAGAGGAGCCAGGGTGTAGCTGGAAACAAGTTCCTGACGAGTTCCTCTGCGAGAAGTTCATTGTTTACAACGAGTGGAGGAGTTTTCCTCTCCTGCTGCTCGAGTTCATCCCAGAGAACCCTCAAAGATCTGCCACCCAACTGCCCAACTCACCTCCCCGTCGCGACCGGGTTTCCTTCCTGCAGCTGCTCGAGGAAGGGGTTTGTTTGTTGTGGTTTTTTTTCCCCCCTCTCTCCCGGGGGTTGCCCCTTATCTTCTACAGGAACAGTTGGTGCCCTGGTTGAATCTGATCCAGGTGGTTGTTTTCCACTCCTGTGCTCCACAGGTTCCACTTGGGCAGGCAGGTTCAAGCGCTCCCCGGGGACTGAGCCTGTACCACCCACTGAAACCTCCCTGCCCAGGCACCACCTGACTCATTTTCCCATTAGAAAAGGGGTTTTCACTCAGTGGCAGGGGACAGAAAACAGGTGTTGTGTGTTTTTTTTTACTCCAAACTGGAAGAAATGATTGTAAACCCACAAAAACAGAGAGGGGAATTCCGAATAGGAGTGATTTTAATTGAGTTGGGCGACTGAACTCACTGCCCTCAGCACCACAGCGCTCCACTGGAAGCTCTTTGTAGGAATTATTTCCCAAATCAAGCACCTCTACCTACATTTTCCTGCCCTTCAAGGGAGGTTTCAATCTAGTGTTGTTATGTATGGAAATGATGAATCGTTGTGATGTGACTGTGCATGTGATACCTGTGGGGTGCTCGTGGTGCTTTGGTGAATTTTCCATGCAATGGTGAATTTTCCATGCAACCACAAAAATCTGTTGTAAAAGGGGAGTAAACCCATGACTAGGTGCTTGCAGATGTAAAAGAAGTAATATAAATTCTTTTTAAAATACCCTTAAAACTAATTTAAGGGTGAGCTATGATATAATTGTAATTTAAGGGTGAGCTATGATATGATTTTTATAGTTTGGTGAAATAACCACTGACCTGCAAAGGTTTATACTAGAAAAGGTGGTCTGGGCCCACCTGGGCTGTCTCAGAGGTTTTTTGAATTATTTGACTTATTAAACTTATTTCACTTATTTGACTGTCTTAAGAGCTTGTCCATGAAATATCAAAGGTAAAAAAGAACTGGTTTGGGAAAACATGTGAATAACAGATACGGGGGAGAAGGCACCAAGAGCTGAGTTTTACCATTTCCCACCTTGGCAGAGGAGCAGTGAGAACGTGGCACTGAGACTCAGGAGATCTGGGATCTATTTTCAGCTCCACATTGGACCTGCTGATTGGCTTCTAATTATTCTGCACCTCAGTTCCCCCAAAAAAAAAAAAAAAAAAAAAAAAAAAAGGCAATTTATCCTTTATAAATAACTGTAAGTTATGTTGATGAAGCACAGTTTATTAATAGCAGTGGTACCTTCTCACTTCTGCCATTAAAAAAATAATTGTAAATTCACAAGTGTCAGTCAAATGAGCAAGTGGCTGTGGGGGAAATAAAGCAGAGGAGGAGCATCATGTCTGGTTACATATTAGGGCTCCACTGCCACAAGAGGGAAGCCAATACTAATAAAAAACCTTTATTTGTGCATGAACTATGGTTATTGTGGAGGGTTTATCCATTTCAAGGGTGTTTGTCTTCTTCTCTTTCCCTGCAGCAAACTCGCATTTGCTCCTGTGTCAAAGACTGAAGGACATTCCTCCACATTCCCTTTGCTCAATGCCCTGTGAAATGAATTCCATGGATTTGCCTCTTTGAATGGCAAATCCATAAACCTGAAACAGAAAGTCGGGACAGAACCAAGCTGGTTGTTTTCTCAGTGGATTTGAACAGTCCATGTCCAGGGCAAGGGGAGGTTTGGTGGACGTGGTGCTTGAAAAAACAGAGGTGGTGTTTTCTCTCCTTTGGGGGAGAAATTAAGGACTTTTCTAGGACTCACAGATACAACTGTTTTTAGTGGCTCTTACCCCACAGTAATGACAAATTAATTCAGCAGATCTTCTGACTCTTAGCCTGGTTTACAATGTGTGTGAAGTCTTTTCTCTGTGGATTTATTGATCAGGGCAAACCTGATCTCAGTTACTCTGATTTTGGGAACTTCTCTGAGTCATTTCTCTTGCAGGAAGGTACCTGGGAAAAGTCACCCTTGCTCAGATCATGCGTTGAAGGCACCAACCTGGTGGGTCGAGATTTCTTATGTTTCATTTTGCAGCCAGACATTACAATTATATGTGCTGGGGCTTTTGAGAAATGTCAGGATAAAGTGGTGAAAGAAGTGATTTTTAAAATAATCTGGGTGTAACAGAGAAACTGAATGGGATTCATACCCCAGATTTCTCTTGTGGGCTTTTTCCTGATCTGTTTTCTAGATTGCTGCAAGACACAAAGATATGAAAGTCACTATTCAGGTTTCTTTAGAGTATTAGGAATTTTTTTTTTTCCCTGCAGGAGTGGTCAGGCCTTGGAATCAGTGTCCCAGGGAGGTGGTGGAGTCCCTGTCCCTGGGAGTGTTCCAGAGGAATTTGGATATGGCTCCTGGGGACATGGATTAGGGGTCATTGTGGTGGTGCTGGCTGAGGATGAGACTGGATGAGCTTGAATTTCCCCCCCAACCTTGATCCCCTGATTGCTGACATATGACACTGGTTGGGGGTCGTAATTCTTGGTGTTTGGAAGGGGTTTTTGAGGAATGGCAGAAATGGGAAGTGAGGAGCAATGCAGAAAACCCACCTATGCAGAGGTTACCTACGAAGACCCCGAGGGTGTTCCCTGGAAGTGCAGACAAGGAATCAGGGCAAGGTTGGGAAAGCCACAGCCGTGGATTGCAGTCCCCGAAGGACATTTGCGTAACAAGCTGCTTTGTTCCAATTTTTTTTTTCAAATACTTTAGCAACGTTTTGGGTATTTTGTCCTCCTCCCCTTTGAAGGAGGCAGACCTTAAACTGCTGTCCTAAAGGTGCTGCTGGTTTTAGAGGAATTGCCAAGCGGAAAAGGGGGGAAACAGAGCTGGAAGTCTTTGTCACCCAGGGCACCTTTCAGAGCCCTCCCAGCACGTTGTTGTTCAGGTGTTCCCGCTCTCCTTTCCTCTCTCCTTTCCCCCAAATGCCACTTTAGGCCCCAGTGTGTGTGTGCATGTGTTTAGCTCTGGGGACATGAGCAGTCACACTCCCGCCGGTGGGAATATTCACATGACCAAACCCGGGCACTTGCACGGGGATTTCCTGCGTGAAGGGCACCAAAGGAAACGGCCAGGTTAAAAATAATGGCTTGGTTTGGGCCCTGATGTAATGCCTTTGACACCAGTGGAATTGTACAGGGCTGAAAGGGATCCAACCCCTTGGAAGGGCTCTCTCCAAGCCCCTCACCTGCCACTTTCCATGTCTGTGTTTATGGCAGGATCAAAAACAATCCTCCTTTCCCTGGGGAATTGCTCTGTGTCCTTCAGGATCTCCCCAGGTCTCAGATGTGCTGAGCTCCTGTGTTTGTGGAGCTTCACCAGTTCCCCATGCCCCTCTTGCCTCAGGGTGGCAAACAGGGCAGCTCTTGCCTGTCCTGCCACTTCCCTGCTCCTGTAAAATGCTGGGACACTCTTTGGCCTCATCAGGGGCTGCTGGTCTGGGGGTGAGAGCCCCTCTTGTCTTGGGTGGGGTCTTGGTTGTTCTCTTTGTCTCCTGCACCAGCTCTGCCTTGTTTTGTGTGGGTACAAAAGAGCTGGGAGGTAAACACTAAAGAAAAGAAGGTCGTAAGGCTTGGAAGAAACCCCTCTGAAAAATGTTCCTCTCTCCTTTCTGTGGCTGTCCTGCCCACTCTGTGTTGCTTTTTTTTTGGGAGTCCCCTGTGAAGTTCTGGCCTGAGTGAGACCTGTGTGAGGCCAAACTCCCACAGCAGCCAGACTTCTGTGCATCTCACCCGTGGTTTCCTACAGATCCCCCCGAGTGTGTCCCACACCTGCTCACCCCAATTCCCACAGACACGGGACAGACCTCTCAGAACATCGAAAGTTAGGGAGTCAGGAGAGAGCGTGTGGGGGGAAACCCACCCCAAAACACACCCCTGAACAAACAAGCTCCAGCATGCAGGGCTCCTGCCTGCCCCTGACAGGATCTATCTTTAGTTGTGACGTGAGTCACACCATTGTGATCTGACTTTACGGTTAGTTTGAGGTATGAGCCAGGCCATGGGACTGCGAGCGAGAGCAGGAGCATCATGGGATGGAGCTGTAAAATTCCACTACTTGCTACTCTCTAAATCAGGTTTGAAGAGCATTGAGAAACAGGAAGTGTGGGGGGGGTGGGGGGAGGTATTTTTTTTTTCCCCCAGTGGAAAATTATCGGAGCATCGCGATGTCGGCGCGGGGAGAACGACGGGGAATCGCGTATGGGCGACGGGAGAGGGTGGAATAGTCTGGAGCAGAGACACCTCTGTGTGCCCAGAGTCACGTCTGTCCCACCCCACCAGCCACTACAAGGCAGGATTTTCTTGGATGGTGCTGTGTTGCTAAGCAACATTGCCAGGCAGCATCTCTGCATCACGCACAGCCCGGCTATGGTGGGGCAGTGGCGCCGCTTCCAGGGATTTTTCCCTGCTAGAAAATATTCATTTTTTTCTGCTCACCCAGGAGGGTGAGGGAGCTGCCTCCCGGGTGGGCATGTGCAGCTCCCGTGGGCTGGGATGGGAATCACGTGCAACCCGAGCCCCGGGCATGCAGAGTGTGGGCGTGATTGCCGAGATACAAACACCTGCCGTGCTCGAGGTGGGATAAAGGTTGGCTTGAACATAAATAACCAACGAGGCAGCGCTGGGATGTGACAAACAGCACAGACCCATTACAATTGGCTCTATCCCAGAATCCCCGAGGTTGGAAAAGCCCTCCCAGCCCATGGATCCCCCCTGTGCCCCATCCCCACCTTGTCCCCCAGCCCAGAGCACTGAGTGCCACGGCCAGGCCTTCCTGGGACACCTCCAGGGCTGGGCACTCCAAACCTCCCTGGGCAGCCCCTGCCAAGGCCTCACCACCCTTTCCAGCAGCAAATTCCTCCTGAGGTGAACACAAAGAAAAGGACGTTCACTCAACATTCTGGGATACCTTTGAGGCCCCTCAACACCAGGGGATTGCTGGATGAGAGCTCTTGTCACAAACCACTGGTGGGTTTTTGGACTGAGTGTGATTTCAGTGGATTCCGCCTGCCAAGCCCCCTCCTCAAAATGATTCAATAACCAGCTGCTGCACACACAGCAAAAAAACAGAAAACCAGTGTTATTGCAGAAGAAGCTGAGGGGTTGTTATAGAAGGAGAACAACAGAGAGCCTGGTCCCCAGAGCCAACAGAGGAGGTGGAACCTGCACCTCACACCACGTGTCTTGTCCCAGGGCAAAAGAGGCCTCTGCAAAGGCTCTGCCCAGACCAGGGCTTGAATAATTCCGAAATCTCTGCTCCTAAAATGTTCGATTTTTGGACAGATCATTGCTGATGCTGTCAGCAGGTGGCAAGAAGGGGGGGATGCAGAAGAGCTGACAAAAGGCAGCAGATAGTTTCTGGCATCTGAATGCTGTGTTTTTCCGCTGCGCGTCATGGACAGAGTCGTCGTTTGAGCCAAGCAAAGGGGGAAGCAGGAGAGGAAAACCACACTGTCAACACCCACAACGGTCTGGGCCATCAACAGTGTTGCCCCTCGCTCACCCTTGCAGATGGAGTCAGCAAAACAGGGGTTTGTCTGATCACTGGGGAGCAGGAATTTAATTGTAGCTGAGCCCACCCCGTTATTGGCGTCTGGGGGCGTGTGGTGGAACCAGGTAAATCAGGCTTTTCCACAACAAAGTCTTCACACCACAGGCTCTGGAGGAGCTCAGCCACTGCAGCTCGAGGCAGGAACAGTTCTTGTGGCATTTGGGTGGCACTTGGCCAAGAGCAGAACAAAGGCAGCGACAGAACTTCCATTTGTCACCGACCTGCAGCAGCTCGAGGTGAGGTCGGTGCTCGAGGCTCAGCCCCTCCATCAGGCTCCTCCAGTTTTGTCTGTACATGGGGCCAGTTTAATCCTGGGAGAAGATGTTCAGAATTTGCCTTGAGTGCAGTGTATGTGCCAAACACTTTGGAGAGAAAACTGCACATAAAAGACATATAAAATATCCTCCTTATTGTACCTGTCCTTTGGGCACGAGTGTCATCCACGAGTCCTGGTTTTGCAGCCGTTTTGGTCAGCTGAGATAAAAAAAGAATAAAAGAGTATAAGCTGTTATTTTTCCTTTTTACCATGAAAGACTTTACTTGGAATGATTGCCCAGCTTTGCTGTTAGATTTTTAGCAAGATATTTCTCCCATAAAAGGCTTCAACGAATGTTGATGGCGGCGACGGTGAGATGGGAGGGGTATGGAAAAGGTGCAGAATTTCATCAAACCTTTCTGTAACTTCTCTCAGCACCCATCCCTTGACAATGGATGGAGCTGTGAGGGTGGGGAGGCCCTGGCACAGGTTGCCCAGAGAAGCTGTGGTTGTCCCTGGATCCCTGGAAGTGTCCAAGGCCAGGTTGGAGCAACCTGGGCTGGTGGAAGGTGTCCCTGCCCATGGCAGGGGGTGGCACTGGATGGGCTTCGAGGTCCCTCCCAACCCAAACCTTTGATTGGGATTCTGATTCTTTGATTAATACAACGACCCATCTCAGCCTTTCCTGAGGGCTGAGACTCATCCCAACAATGTTTAAAGGATAAATTACACCTTCCCTTCCCCAAACCGTGCCAGATACAGCACAGAAAGGAAATTAATGTTATGCTGGAAAAGAAAATACCCCGAGGGCTTTTCCTCTCTGAGTTTCATGGTAAACACCACTGAGTTCTCAGCACCATTAATATCTGATTATTACGACTCCTCTCAAGCAGTAGCCCCACCTACTTTGGTCTCTGTTTTCTGGGCACGC